TAAAAGGAAATTCTGTCCCTTGCTATCATATGGGAAGTCCTGAAGGACATTATGCAGAGTGAAATAATCCAGTCCCAGAGGACAAAGCTGTTTGATTCCACTTACACCAGGTATCTTGAATAGTTGGACTCAGAGGCAGAAGTCAGAGTTGAGTAGTCAGACTCAGAGGAGAAGGGTAAGTGAGGGCTGGGGGCGGGATCAGGAGTGGCTGTTGACCTGGTACAGAGTTTGAGTTTTGCAAGATGAAAAAGCTCTGGAAATCATTTGCATAACAATGAACATTCTTATTTTTTTTAAATATTTTTTAGTTGTTGATGGACCTTTATGTATTTATTTATTTGTATGTGTTGCTGAAAATCGAACTCAGTGTCTCATGCATACTAGGCAAGCACACTACCACTGAGCCACAATCCCAGCCCCACAATGAACATTCGTAACGCTACATGGAACTGCACATTTAAAAATGACTGAGGCAGGAAATTTTACAATATGTGTATTTTACCAAAATTAAAATTTGTTTCTGATTTAACTAGTTATATGATCAGTTCAATAATCAGTTGGGGAATCAAGAGCAACCAATTATAATGGATTATCATTATTTCTTTCCCCTTTCCAAGTACTGATCCCTCCCAGTTCTCTCTCTCTCTCTCTCTCTCTCTCTCTCTCTCTCTCTCTCTCTCTCTCTCTCCCCCCCCCCCCCCACCCCATGACCTTGAGTGGCTCTCAGGTCTTTTTTGAATCCTGAATGCCCAAATGGCCATATCTGTACCTCCTCTTTGGAGCAATGTCAGTGACCTCTAAAGTACCAAATCATTGCTCTCGTTCTAGGCTCCAGGCCAGACCTCCACCACACATCCCACTAACTAGACATCCCTTTTGTTTCTCAGACTAGTCTATTATCAAACAAGAATCTCTGGGGACAACTTAGATATTAGCCGTTCACACAAAAGGTGAACTACTTTAATTACTAGGATTTCTCTGCCTCCACGATTAACTCAAGGAAAGTATTCTGGATGGGAGAAGGAAGAGCAGAGGGGGAGAGTGAACACGTTGCCCTTTAAGAAAGAGGGACTTAGAAGGGGCTGGCTATGAGGAAGGGTGAGGTGGTGTTGAACAGTACAGGGGGCAACAGAACAACGGGCACCTGGGACTGGGAGGGAACCAATATTGGTGGGGGGTGATATTAGAAAGCATTTTAGAGACTTGGTGGTTGTCTTAAACCACTCTGTCCTGCTAGAAGAGAATACCTGGGACTGTGTGACTTATAATGAAGATTATTTGGCTTGTGATTCTGGGGACCAGGAAGTCAGATCAAGGAGCCACATGTGGTGAGGGTGACAATGTGATCAGCATCCATCCATGCACAAGGTAGAGCCCTCCCATTAATAGGTCCTGCCCCCAACACTGCCACACTGGGCATTAGGTTTCCAACATAAGCTTTCAGGAGACACAGTCAAGCCATTAGGTCACAGCAGTGCTCTCCCTGGTTCACTCACTGTACCTGCCCTGGAAAAGGACAGTCACTTCCCTGTCACTCCAGTCTGCACAGGGTGTCTGCTGCTAGGAGAAGGGCCTGGACGTCCTTCTGGAGGGCATGCTCACAGTCCAGTATTCCCGGATGAGCAGCGGATTGTGGCTAAACCATGCCTGGGGTGGAAGGGAGGGAATGTCTGGGATGAAGGGAAGAGGATGGGACACAAGGGCACTAGCAAGGGACAAGTAGGCTCTAATGCAGATGTTCAGTGTTCATAGGGAAAGGCTTGGTCCCCAGAATGGCAGTACTGGGAGGTGGCATGGACCATTAAGAGGTGGGTCCTTGTTTGAGGTCACTGTGGGTGTGCTCTCAAAAAGAATTGTGGGACCCTGATGTGTGAGTGTGTGTGTGTATGTATGTGTGTGTGTGTGTGTGTGTGTGTGTGGAACCATCAGACAAAACAAACCTCTTTACCTCATAAGTAGCCTTCCGTGGATATTTTGTTACAATAAGGAAACTTACTAATTCACTATGGAGCTGCCTTTCTGTTCTCCATTCCGAGAGTCCCTCACAGGTGGTAATCAACGTAATTTCACTGCACCCCAAAGTGGATGTCTGCAGTGACATATGGTAAAAAAGACAGTAACAAGATAGAAGCTTTCTTCACTCGTAGCTGCCATTATCACCCTTTCCCTTCACCAAAACCTGACAGCCCACGTCAAACCACACCTCATGCTTCCTGGTGCTGAGTTGCTCACACTCTGCAGCATCTTTCATTTAGGCCCTGTCAATGTATCCACTCAGCCTCTCATCTCTTATGAGCCACATGGCTAAGGAAGCTGTTTCCTCCCTTCCCAAAGTTGCTAGAACAACATCAGGACTCTTAGTATGACAGGCAGGCAAAGCCACATCTGACCTCCCACTGACAGTACCTACAAATACAGATTCAGGGGCAGAGAGAGGGCATTAGACAAAGTTCCCAGGGTGCACTCAGTTTGCCTCTTTGTGCCAGGACTCCTGAGAGGACTGCAATGAGATGCTGGTGGTCACCTTTGCTTATTAGCTGAAAACTAAGTAATGACCACTCAATTCAGTCAAAATGGTGGGCTCAACTGTGCTTTTGGAAATCTTCATTGTTATATACAAATACACGTATGCACACCAAATGCTTTTTCCCTCGTACATAGGCATGAAAAATTCAAACATTGTAAGCACCTATCCAGGTAAATGTTCTTAGTTATGAATGACAAATCCCATAGGAGTAGCCCTTATGTGATAATGCTAGATTGAACGTGAAAACGCAGGGAAGACTGCAGAAAGACTAAGACTGAGCAGAAGTGCCTTCTATTACTAACAACCAAGCAGTCTAAACTGCATGGGATCTTGATTGGATATTTTTCTCTCCAAATCTCCCCCTCTTCTGGGGATTACAATTTAGAAGTCCAATTAAATTTAGGGAGTGTCTGAACAAATAGCCCTGATGATCAAACATCTAAGCTTCTAAATGGACAGCAAAGAAGATGTGTTATTTAACCCAGTGAAACTAAGCCTTTCAAAAGCAAGCTTCACCTCCCTGCCATCATTATAGGGTGACCACTCTCAACCCCTGTCCCCTGATCTGCCATTCTTTACATTATCTCTTCTTTGCTTCCCAGGTGTTTTTCTGCTCCCTCCAGGACATCAGAATTACCAGCACACTTGCCTCCCATGACACTGCATACACAATCATGATTTTGTGTGATCCTGGCCTCACCCAGGGTCCTCCCACAAGGAAGTACAGCACACTCACCCCACTTTCACCATCAGGTATATTAATTAGAAACTTTTGATTCAATTGTCTGATCCCTTGGAACAAAGCAAATTTTTTTTTCAGATTTAGATTCTTCTGGTTGCCTCATAGGAAAACATGGATATGAGATAAATTGAATGTCAGGACAGGGAGTGGGAGAGTGAATATAAATAGATTAGTTGCCTCGCCTTTTGAAAATGACAGCAAATCATTTATTGTTCTTAGAATCGGTTCTGTAAAAGTCAAAAGCTACAAAACTGTATGCCATGGCAGGAAAGGGGAATATCATGCTCCAAACATTCTTTATTTTATTTGTCTTCATGTGGTGCTGAGGGTTGCACCCAGTGCCTCATATGTGCTAGGCAAGTGCTCTACCATTGAGCTACACCCCAGCCCGCCAAACATTCCTATCTTCTCTTAATTGTTCTCTGATGGGTATGCAACCTTAACACCAAATAAATGCATGTGAAATCCCTCAGTAAATGTGCGTAGAAGACCCCAACTTCTCTCGAAGCCCTTTGAGAGGAAGCATCTTGAACTTTTTATGACTACCTTCCTCCTGCCCTAGCAGGCAAGGCATACAACAGGTTTTCAACAAATGATCCTTGATTGATTTTTCTCATCTTCACCATGGGTGTGAGAGAAAAGAAACAAAAAAACAGTGTTAACACATTTTGCACTGTAAATGATCAGTTGAGAAATTAAGGCTGTTAAAAAAAATATTGCACAAGTATAAAAATCACCCTGTTAAAGAAAAAATTGTGTGTATGAAGACTATTGGGTTTTAAATACCCTCTGCTCACATGTGCCAAACATTAAACATTTTCTAAAATCAAGGTTATCCAACCAACCTTCTTTGTCTCCCCATTAACCCAATATAAGGAGACCAGTCTTCAAACGTAAGGAGGCTTTTTGCTTTTCTTTCTTACCCTTTGAACATAATCCACTTAAGTCCCCATCCCCAAGGTGCTTCCCAAGCGGGCAGAGCGGGTGACGCTCTGGGAAGCCTTTACTGAGACACTTAAGCAAAACTCCGTTTTCCACATGGGCTATTTAGGAGCCTCTCGGTTTCCTTGGGTGACCCACGACCTCCCTTGCTCTTCGCATGCTGTGAATAGGAAGCAGGGTGGAGAGATTCTCCGAGGCTGTCCGGGGAGGCGCTAGCCATGGTACTGACCTCGGAGCTCAGGACGAGAGCGCAGAGGGTGCCCGAGGAGGTGTGACCACGAGTAGCTGAGTAGCCTTGGAACCCCTGCCCCTCCCGACCCCCGGGGAGTCCACAGGCCTTCACGCCAACCCTCCACTGCACGCTCCAAGCTGCATCAAAAAAGGGTGGGGCACCCAGCCACAGCTGCAAACGGAAGCCGCCCCGGAGGATTTAAGAAGAATGGAACCATAGTCACCCCAACCCCCATGCGACGTCCCCAGCCAGGGATCCGCCTGTCCTTTATGCCCACTCCCCACCTCCCAGGCCCAGGAGGCGCGGGCAGCCTTTGTGGGCACATAGCCTCCCACCGCCGAGCCAAGCCCGAGCCTCGCCGCACCCTGCGCTCAGAAGGGGCGGGCAGGGTGGGGTGCGCGCGTGCAGATGCGGGAGGCAATATTCAGGGCGGGTCCTGCAGGCGGGCACGCTGGGGTGCTCTGGGGTGCTCGGTTCTCCGCCGAGGTGGAAGGGGGCGAGGGAGGGGCGACCCCCGCGCCCCGTCTCCGTCTCCACCCACAAGCCCCCATACCAACCTGGTCGTTGAGGTTCTGCAGAGCCTCCTTGCCCGAGGTCCGCCGGATCTCCACCTTCCGGCCCGATTCAACAGATGGCTCCCCGCCGGCACGCCGGCCCTGGCGGGAGTACGGCGGCTGCGGGTCCGGGCCCAAGTGGGCGACGTCCCGCTGCTGAGCCACCACCTGCCCCGAGCCCCGGCCCACCGACAACGAGTCGAAATCGATGGTCTTATTCTCCGAGGACCCTTCCACCGGGCAGAACATGCCACAGAATTTCTGCCGGGGCTTGGGGCTGCCCGAGCCCAGGTTTTTAAAGAAGGCAGGGACCTCTTCGTCCTCTGCCGCCTTCCCAGACTGCTTCCTCTCGGCCATGGCGCGGGGACACGGGGAGGGTCCTCTCCGCCAGTCAGTCCGTCCGTCTGCGGGTCCCTAAGTCTCCCTCTCGGTGAGCACAAACCCCGAGCTGCTGCGAGGCTGCCTCGCTCTGCCTACCGCAAGGTGTACAGAAAGGAAGGAGGGCTGGCGAGCGGCGACCCACCCCTCTGGTCCCTCCCCCTGACCCCGCTTTCTCCCCTCCCTGCCCACGCCCCCCGCAGCCGCCCAGCGAGCTCAGGCGAGCGGCAAAGTTGGGTCTGGGAGGGCGGCCGCTGCGGCAGCGGAGCCCGGAGACTGCCAGTTCCCGGCAGCAGGGGAGGAGCCGGGCGCGGGCGGGGCGGGGGCGGGGGCGGGGCGCGGAGGGCGGCCGGGAGAGCGCGGAGCGAGAGGGGAGGGGAGGGCCGCGCCCCAGAGCCTTGCGCTCCGGAAGTGAAGCGGCCAGACCACCGGCTAACGTATGCGCAGGGGCATACCGCTAACCGCTCTCGGCGCCTGGGTAAGTGTGGGTCAGGTAAGCGGGCCGAGGACCCAAGGCCAACTCTCGCACCTACTGGCCCTGGCGCCTCTCTTTTGTCGCATTGCGGAGGTGGGCCTGGGGCGAGGGCGCATCAAGGATGCGGCTCCCACCCTCTTACCCGAGGTGTGAACTGATGGATGTGGAAGGGGTCAGCCTGGCAAGCGCTGGGAGGAGAAAGGGTGCAGTCAAGTAGCAGGAACAGGAACGTGCCTGCTGACCCCAGGACACTAAAGCTATGTATCTTTATGCCTAGGCGGGCTACAGAAAGCAAAGGGAAATAAGAAGGTTCTCGGTTTTGTGCATCCATGGTGTTGGGGGCGGGGAGAGTACAAGATGGAGGGGAGAACTGCAGAGGGGCTTAGCAAATGGAAAGGGAAATGTGAGAGAGATGGTGTGTAGCAAAAAGTGCAGTCTGCGAATCCTTGCCTTGCACCACAGTTTACGGAATAAAGAAATAGAACCTCTGTATTAGCCAAGGTACCATAATATATTAAGTTATGGTACCAGGTACCATAATATACGCCACTGCCCCAAGAAAGGACCAAGAGAGTGTCATGATTTGGTATCTTCCGACCACTAACAGCATTAAAAGTGGGGGTGGGGCTAATCAGAATGATACACATTCCCTAAATCGCCAGACTTTCTGGCTTCCGGGGCGCACCAACTAGAGCCCACATCTCTGCCCCAGTTGCGCACTGCGCCAGAGCCAACGTGTTTCCCGGGTTGCCAGGTGCCACTTGCGTGGCTCATTACGTGTGAGCAGGCCCGTGTGTCACGCGGGCAGTAGGTAGTAGGTGCTCGTTGGGAGGGAGTGCGGTGAATTGTGTGGGGTCAAGCTGGAGGAAAATTGGGGACTCGATGTATATGTGCAGATTTGCAGCCACGGCCGCAAGGTTGGTGGATATCACTGGGCATTTTCCCTCTGTGGGGGTCTTCCTTCTTCCTTCTTCTGTCCATCTCTAAGTCATTTCAGCCTGAGGCCACTGCCGCTGGTCCTTTCCAGCCCCCCTCTTCACCTTGCTCCACTGTGGCAAAAGCCTGCAGAAACTAGTCCATCCTTTGGTGGCTCTGGAGGAAGGTGTGCGCATGCTCAGTGACCTGGGTGGGTTTGCGAAGGGCAGCAGGATGAAGAATTCAGCCACATTGTCCACCTGTCCGCCCCTCTCAACTGTGAGGGATCGTTTGATGTATGGAGTTAAATTTGGAGGGCATGCGGCCACCCTTTGAAGATTAGGAATCTCTGAAACGAGAAGTCAGGAAGACAGAGAATATACTCATCTCCTCCCAGGACTTAGGTGCAGATGTGCTTCGCGTTTGTTAAAGCGAGTTTGTGTAATTTCCGAGGCACAGCAGCCCAGTGGGGTGACCGCTTTCCAAGTTAGGAAACAGATTTCGAGAGATTGAGGTACCGTACCCAAGATCAGGATCTGATTAAACTAAACCAACAATTTCAGTGGGGGGTCTTCACTTGGAAGCCTGGTTTCTTTTCCAGATTATCCTGTGGACCCCTTATCAAGTTCTTACATATTTTGCCAGGCACATTGGCATACGTCTGTAATCCCAGCGACTAGGGAGGTGAAGCAGGAGAATGACAAATTCAAGGCCAGCTTCCCCAATTTAGCAAGACCCTGTCTCAAAATAAAACAGGACAGGGGAGATAAAACACCCCTGGATTCAATCGGCAATCCACTTGAAGCTCTTTATTGAGGTTCACATTCTAGTTGGGAATTCTATCCTGCGAGAAGAGCCCTCCAGAGGTGACGCGAACTTTGGCATGACAGCTTTTCCACAGGCCTCTGTTTTAGTCGTATGTTTTTTTTTTTGTTTGTTTGTTTGTTTGTTTGTCGCTGTGACCAAAAGACCTGACAAGAACAACATAGAGGAGGGAAAGTTTATTTGGGGCTCATGGTTTCAGAGGCCTCTGTCCATAAATGACCGACTCCATAGCCCTGAGCCCAAGGTGAGGCAGAACATATGGTGGAAGAGCAGAGCCATCAGGGAGCACAGAAAGAGAGAGAGAGGGTGCTCTGCTCACCAGGGACAAATGTAAACCCCAAGGTACACTCCCCATGACCCACATCTTCCAGCCAGTTAATCCACCAGTGGATAAATGTACTGGTTAGGCTGAGACTCTCATAACTCAATCTTTTCACCTCTGAACATTCTTGTATTGTCGCACACATGAGGTTTGGAGTGGGGGTGGGGTACCATATATCTAAACCTTAACAGCATGGGAGATGTTTCTTCCTGGGCCTTCAGTGTCTTTTTTACATACCAGGTGTCCTCTAGATACTCCAATGGGGAGGAAAGTCATCCTGTATTTTAGAAAGGAAATGCAGGCCTGGAGCTATCAGCAGTCTCAGGTCCCTGGGGCTTCCAGGCATAGGTATGGGGCAACATTTTGTTCTTCTAGCTCTCTGGCACTATGGTGTGACCTTCAGCAACTCCCAGAAGGATTTTGGAGCCACTCTTTCTAGAACAGCTGCTACCATAGCAATAAACTGGCATCTGTGATATATGAACTCAGTTTGGATTGGTGGAGATTTTCAGGCCAAGGAGAAAATAGTTGTAGCTCCCAACATACACTCCACATCTTCAGTGTGGGATATTCAGCAACAGCATTTGGGTCAACAGTGGAATGCATATGCTGCAGTGTCCCCATGAGGTTCCATTGCCTAGTGACTTAGTAGTTACCATAGTTTTTCTAAGCACAGGATGTGGCCTGTTATCCAGTCACAGCTGGGTACAGTGGCACAGGTCTGTAATCCCAGCAACTCAGAGACTAAGGTGGGAGGATTTCAAGTTCAAGGCCAGTCTCGGAAATTTAAGGAGACACTGTCTCAAAATAAAAGGGTTGGTGATATAGTACTGTGGTAAAGCACCCCTGGGTTCAATCCCCATTATGAAAAAAGAAAAAACAAAAAGTTACCCTCATGATTATTGTAGGGACTCCTCCGCGTTATGCTCTCTGCTGTCCAGACAGGCAAGCACTCTATCAAATGAGTGTTGGTCGTACAAAGTTTTGTGTTAGTAGTTTACCATCCATAGCCAAAGAAACAACCCCTTTGTGCCTTTGTGAAGCCTCACTAGACCTAAAAGTGGATTATTCCATAATTCCAGATTTAACTTATTTGAGATTTTAGTAACTTATTTTTATATGTTTAAGTAACTCTCGGTTGAATTTTTTTTTTTTTTTTTTTTTTTGGTACTAGGGATTGAACCCAGGGGTATGTTATTTTTTTTTTTTTTTTTTTTTTGAGATTTCAAATTTGTTTATTTATTTATTTATTTATTTATTTTTTAGTTATCGGCGGATACAACATCTTTGTTTTGTATGTGGTGCTGAGGATCGAACCCGGGCCGCACGCATGCCAGGCGAGCGCGCTACCGCTTGAGCCACATCCCCAGCCCCCCCAGGGGTATGTTATTATTGAGCTATGTCCAAAGTTTTTTTAATTTATTTTGAGACAGAGTCTCCCTGAATTGGTTAGGTCCTGGCTAAATTGCTGAGACTTGCCTTGAACTTTTGATCCTCCTGCCTCAGCCTCCTGAGTGTCTGGGAATATGGGCATGCACCACCATGCCCAACTAAGACTTTTTAAATCAAAGACATGAAGCATTTCCATCTTTTTTAGGCAATTTAAGTTAAATTTTGAAGAATGGTCATATTTTTTCATCCTTCTCTACTGGATTGTCATGTTTTTAAATAAGATGCATTAATCTTCATCACTGGATAGTAGGCATAAAAATATGTCATTCTTATTTATGTGTAACAGGATAGTTTGGCCTGGATGAAGCTCAGACTCACACACCATTGTGTGGAGGAGGGTAACATCGTCCTTTGCTGGAAGCTGAATATATAAACTCCTTGACTCTAACAGAACATTCTGGAACTCATAAAAAGGTATCTAGCTGCATCTTATCTCATCTTTCAAATAGCAAAGGTTTGTTTTTTGTTTTGTTTTGTTTTTTGATGCTGGGCATTGAACCCAGGGCCTCATGCATACTAGGTATATTAGTGAGCTTTTTCACTGCTATGACCAAAAGACCTGACAAGAGCAGTTTTAGAAGAGAAAAGTTTATTTGGTACTCTCAGTTTCAGAATCTTAAGTTCATAGATGGCTGGCTGCAATGCTGTGGACCCAAGGTGAGGCAGAACATCCTGCAGAAGAGAGTGGTGAATGAATGAAAGCAGCTCAGGACATGGCCACCAGGAAGCAGAGAGATCTGCACTCACCAAGGACAAAATATAAACCCCAAAGGCACACCCCCAGTGACCTGTCTTCTCCAGACACACCCTACCTGCCTAAGTTACTGCCCAGTTAATTCCTTCAAGTGAATTACTGCTCTGAGGTTAAGGCTATCATAACCTGATCATTTCACCTCTAAACTTCCTTGCATTGTGTCACATGTGAGCATTGGGTGGACACCTCCTATCTAAACCATAACACAAGGCAAATGTTCTACCATTGAGCTACATCCCCAGCTCATGCAAAGATCTTGAATCCTGCCTGAGTAATCAACATGTCTACTAATCATTTGAGGCAGGGAAACTAGATTGCAGTAAGTTCCCCTAGAGGGGAAAAGTCACAATAAGCAAAGAAGGGGTGTAACAGGACAGCCCTATCAGAATGGCATGGACAGAAGTGCAGTGGGAGGCGAAGACTCCAGTCTACCCCCAGTTCCATCCCAAACTAGAGTTCAAATGCTTCCTGGGCTGTGGTTAGAAATGAGCATTGTTTCACCAGGATTCTAAGCCACCCTCTGTAATGCGTCTCTCCAGGAGTCCTGGGTGCTGGAGTAGAAGACATTTTCCCACCAACTGGAGAGAGGAGAAGTGTCAGAGACCAGGCGACAGTGGGAAAAGCAGCTCTTCCAGGTGCCTCCACGGTCAGGGAAGGGTCAGTGCCACGTGGCTGCCAAAGTCCAGGAGGGAAACAGCAGCAAGTGAACTGCAGAGCCAGAGGCAGTGGCACTACCTTGGGGTAGGTCTGCAGACAAACGGGGAAGTGCAAGTAACTGGTCCTGCTTGAAGATTTTGAGACTGCTCGTGGAGAGACCCTCTGGTGGGTTGTGAGTTTGGAGTATTATCACCCCTAAGGCTGTGCATATCCACAGCACTAGTTGCTACCTATAGAGAGTGAGTGGTTCAGTATCTGGGACAATGGCAGTGGCACTGTTAGAGGACTGGTGCAGGATCATGAGTGTGGATGACCAGAAGTCGCTGATGGTGATGGGCATACCAGTGGACTGCGATGAGGCTGAGATCCAGGCAATCCTGCAGGAGACTTTAAAGTCTCTGGGCAGGTATAGATTGCTTGGCAAGATATTCCGGAAGCAGGAGAATGCCAATGCCGTCTTATTGGAGCTTATGGAGGATATTGATGTCTCAGTGATCCCTAGTGAGGTTCAGGGAAAGGGGGGTGTCTGGAAAGTGATCTTTAAGACCCCTAACCAGGACACTGAATTTCTTGAAAGACTGAACATCTTTCTAGAAAAAGAGGGACAGACAGTCTCAAGTATGTTCCGAGCCCTTGGGCACGATGGGGTATCTCCAGCTACAGTACCCTGTATATCTCCAGAGTTACTGGCCCATCTGTTGGGACAGGCAATGGCACATGCCCCTCAGCCCCTGCTACCCATGAGATATCGGAAACTGAGAGTGTTCTCAGGGAGTGCCAAGCCTGGCCCAGAGGAAGAGCCATTTGAGGTCTGGTTGGAACAGGCCACTGAGATAGTCAAAGAGTGGCCCATCTCAGAGGCAGAAAAGAAGAGGTGGCTGGTGGAGAGCCTGCGTGGCCCCGCCCTGGACCTCATGCACATAGTGCAGGCAGACAACCCAGCCATCAGTGTGGAGGAGTGTCTGGAGGCCTTTAAACAGGTGTTTGGGAGCCTGGAGAGCCGCAGGACCTCCCAGGTGAGATACCTGAAGACCTTTCAGGAGGAAGGGGAGAAAGTCTCAGCCTATCTGCTAAGACTAGAAACCCTGCTCCGGAGAGCTGTGGAGAAACGGGCCATCCCCAAGAATATCGTGGACCAGGTCCGCCTGGAGCAGGTCATGGCTGGGGCCAACCTTGGTGAGGTTCTCTGGTGTCGGCTTAGGGAGTTAAAGGATCAGGGCCCGCTTCCCAACTTCCTGGAGTTGATGAAGGTAGTACGGGAAGAAGAGGAGGAAGAGGCCTCCTTTGGAAATGAGAATATCCCTGGGCGCGCTGGTGCACGCCTGTAATTCCAGCGAACTGGCAGGCTGAGGCAAGAGGATCCCAACTTCAAGGTCAGCCTCAGCAGCTTAGTGAGGCCCTCAGCAATTTAGCAAGACCCTGTCTCAAAATTTAAAAAAACAAAAAGGGCTGGGGAGTAGCTCAGTGGCAAAGTGCCCCTGGATATTCAATCTCCAGTATCCCACACCTCCCCCCGCACCCCCCCCCAAAAAAAAAGAAAGAAAGAAGGAAAAGAAAATGAGACTATTGAAGGGCCAGAGGGAGGCTGTGGCCACTTGGATAATGAGGGCGATGACTATAAACCAACTGCTAAGACCACTGCCAACCAGTGGACCTGGGACGTTTGTATATTTAAACTAAGACCCTTATGATATTTTCTTTAATGTATAGAATTGAAGTCAAGGCATGATAGCCAAGTCTTTATTTTTTCTTTCTAGAAAAAAAAAATGTTTGGAGTTTCTTACCCCCTAAGTAGATTGTTAATAAAAGATTAACTTTTATTAATTGTTTATAAAAGATTAACTTCAAAATAATAGATAGTAAGTCTAAAGACATCCAAAACACCCAGACTTCTGGTTTCCTTTAAAAACCCCAAATAGACCAAAGTTTACCTGTACCATAGAAGAAAGAATTGATGTTAGAAAAGAAAATAGCTTTTATAATAAGTTAGAAAGTATAATAAGTTAGAAAGTCACAGAGTGACTTGGCTTGTCCAGAATCTCCTTGTCTCAGCTCAGCCAGTTCTTGCTGAATCCCTAGCATTGCTAGACACCGTACAGGAGCTATAAACCTCCAGCTACTGCCTGCAGTTGAGCAGGTACAAACCTGCAAGATGGGCTATGCCTTCTGGAAGTTTCCAATGAGATAAGTTGTTGGTACAGACAAGTGGAAGCAAAGTAACCATATTTGTAGATAAATTCACAGCCCCAGCAGAAAGGTCGTGGGTCATGGTTAAATGAATGGGACCATCTCCACCCATAGGTTTCTTTTTTCTCTTTCCTGAGAAGTGTTCATCCTGCCTCTGTGCTGGGTGCCATATCAGACCCTGAAGAACAGATGACTCCAAGGCCCGGGCCCAGTCTGGTTGGAGAAGGGGGTTTAGTGGCCATAGAGAACAAAAAGGAGAGTGAAGGCCCTCCCCTTTATTGAGGGCCTGCACTGTGCCAGGCATTTCACACACATCTAAGTGTGCAGCAACCCCACACTTTATAGGGGTTTTTAATTTTATTTTATATAAAAATTAGCTGAAGGTCATATGGGTTAAGTAGTCTCCTCAACACCAAAATGCTAAGAAGCAGCTCAGGATCTCCTGACTTGAGCCTGTCCACTTTCCACCATCTTTAGTGGATTTCAAATTGTGTCCTCAAAATTCTGCAGAGAGTTTTCAGCCGTCCCATCTTCAAATTACACCTTGAACTCTGTAAATATCTAGTAAATAACAGGTAGACTCAAATGTGTCAAAAGCCAAAAGTTAACATGCCAGCAGTTACCCTTAGGTTTGCTTGTTTTCAGTGACTCCTTTTGTGCAGAACTTGGAATAAAGCTTCCCTGCTGCTATCTGTGCATATATCCAAACTTCCTTTAATTGTTCATAGACTTAATGAGCGTGTGCATCTGGCCCACACATGCAATGTCAAGTGTGCTAGGACAGCTTAGACGAGCACCATTTAGTTACATGCTAGGTGAAGCTCCGACACAGTTGATGCACAGCCTCATGGTAGATTTGTGCAACTGTAACCAAGTTGCTTAGCTTCTGTGAATGTAAGTTTCCTCATCTGCAAATGGGAAGATTATAATACAGGGTGGTTATTAGGAGCAAGTGACATAACACCCTTTTAGTACTTCTCTTGATGTCTGGAACTTGGAAAACCCTTGATACATTAAGGCTCTTGGGATTTTCGTGATGCTTATTGTCATCAGCTCAGTGCATGCTTTCCTTATTCTTCTAGTTGTCCAGGAACAAGTAAAATGATAGAATCTTCCAGTCCAGTTGTGATACCTTTGCATTTAGAGACCATTTCAGCAATTCTTGAAAATGCTTGTCTTTTATACATGTGATAATATTCCAGCAGTTGTTGACAATTGTTAATGACTTGACTTTGAAACATTAAGTTATTCTTTTGAATTGTGAGTTAGCTTAACCGAAGAATATCCTGAGATTGTAACAACATTTTTTTTAAAAAAGTACCATTCATTTGTGATCATTTATCTTTCTAAAGTATTTTTCTCAATACTGTTCAACCAATGATGTGAGAGTAATCCATTACATCCTGATTTAATGTGATTTTGTATTCATGAAAATGACCTCATTATCATTGATTGATAATCTACAAAGTAAAATGTTACCAATGTGAAATTATAAAATAAATCTAAGATAATAAAAGCCTGAGTTTTTGTTGTTTTTTTCTTTTCTGATTCCTATATTGTGGTCTATATGAGTGAGAAGGTCTGTTTGAGTCAGAAGGAACTTTATTATTTAAAAAAAAAAAAAAAAAAAAGAACTGAGAGAAGTGTTTATAAAACCAAGCAAAAGGCAAAAGATCTTAAGCTCCTCTAGGCAAGAAAACCTGAGAACAAAGTGCTAGAGTAAGAATACTTGGACTATGTCTCCAGGGATGGGAGAGAGCTCAGCTCACCCATCATTGATTTCCACTTTACATACACAGGAGCAGATGGAGGCCACCCCCTCTGAGACCATCATCTCATCTGCTTAGGACAGTAACTGTCCAGATAAATTCCCCTGTCTCTGTTCTGCCAAGGGTAAAATGACCCAAAGGTGGAATCTTGCATTATGGGCTGAAGTCAGCTTTCCTTGTGGATGTGTAGAGGGGAATTTCCTCTTGCCTTTGGACATATTGAAATTGCTTCTTCTCTTATCTGAAGCACAACAGGGGAGCATTCCTCATTGGGCCTACGCACCACAGACCAGTCCACTAAAGATGAGTGTCCTGAAGGATGCCCAACCCCATCTTCTCACCACTTGAGAAAAACCTTGAAGGTAGACTCACCTTGTACTTCACGTGTCTCCAGTCCTGACCCTCAGAGACCGAGCTCTCTAAGATCTGGATACCACTACAGAAGATCAGTTTCTAGTCAGGGTCTCTGGTGTAAATTATGGACCAGGCCATCAGTCTCCTGCCTCCTCCGGCCTTAGGTGTCACCTGCCTTCTGCTGCCCATCCTAAATGCAGACTCTCAACAGGTCTCTCCTTTACTCTCGTTCCAACGGATGCTGTGCCTCCACATGTCCCTGGACATTCCACAATGTCCTAGACAAACCAGTTGAGATGACCAGTGTTCACTGCATACCTGCCACCATTTTCCTTAACTAATCGAGTGTTCTGCCCAGTGCTCTGCAGGCCTTACAAGGACCAGCTGCTTATCATCATCCATTTCCTCTTCCTAATACCTTTGCACCTTCCTGTCACATGTGCACGGCTCTGCCACCACCACCCACTGTGAATTGGGCCTGCCAAGCCTGGACAATTAGAATGACTAAGAGCAATGACAAAAGCAAGCCCATGCAGAGAAGGATCCCCCCAGAAAGGAATCTGTCTGGGTGCCATCTAAAGGGGGGAAAAAAGAGCAGAAATAAAAAGGTAAACTGTGACTAAGAGAGTGCTAAAGACTGGAAAGCAAAGAAGGGCAGGAGCTTGAGGCTGGAAGGAGTAGAATCTGAAATGAAACAGGAGAGAAGAGGAGCCAAGCAAGTCCTGGCAAAGGGGCACCAGGTTTGTTTTATGTTCCAGCAGCAAAATCCTTGGACGGTCCAAGGAACCAGAATTGGGGCAGACATCTCTCCCATCCTCCGTCAGAGAGCCAAGGAATCTTTGAGTTTGTTTAGGAAAAACTTAACTCATTGAGACGCTTTCTCGGAGTAGAAGATGGAGCCCACTGGACCAGGGCAGGACGTTGTCCTGGTCTAAACCTGAATGACACCAGTCCCCTCTGTGTCCAGCTGTTCCTTGACATCCCAGATGGACATTTGCTTTAAAATTAGTGTAACTCCAGAAGAGTTTGGAAAAATCCATTTTCTCAAGGGGAAAAGGTGTAGGATTTCAGTCTAACATTCAGGACACCAGCTGGAGCTGCCCATTGTAACTGTTTTAAGCAGCAGCTGAGGTTTCTTCTCAATCTCTCTCCCCTCCCACTTAGAAGGAAGAGTCACTGAAGGGGAGGTGTCACAGCCATGTGGAGGACTGTGCAGTGGTGCTGAGGCTGGGAGCCACAGCAGGCGGTCCCAGGGAAGTGGGGAAGATGGCAGTCCCCGTCCCAACCTGCTCAGACCTGCCCCTCCTCAGCATGGCCTAAGACAGACCCATGAAGGTCCTTCCTGACTTTGATGAGTCTTTACCCAAAAAACTGAATTACTAAAATGAAGGGTTTCTTGAATAAAAATTTGTCACAAAAGCCAACTTTATATTGTTAGTGAGAATAAGCAAAAAAAGAAAGAAACCAGGTTGATGGAAAGAGAGGCTGAGTCCCGCTCATGATGGCAAGCCACCATATTGCACTGCCTGGGAACATCTCCTACAAAGGTGAAGGCCTCTGACAACACTTGTTGAGCTTGGGGACCCTGTTCACTATTCCAAGTAGTCATCAGTGAATGCTTTAAATGTCCTAACTAGAAAGCTTCTATGTGAAACCCAAAGCAACTGTAAATGCCCATGGCCAGTTGTGCTACCAGCCTGGAGAAGACATTCTCTTTTTTTTTTTTTATTTTTTTATTGTTGGTTGTTCAAAACATTACATAGTTCTTGATATATCATATTTCACACTTTGATTCAAGTGGGTTATGAACTCCCATTTTTACCCCATATACAGATTGCAGAATCATATCAGTTACACATCCATTGATTTACATGTTGCCATACTAGTGTCTGTTGTATTCTGCTGCCTTTCCTATCCTCTACTATCCCCCCTCCCCTCCCCTCCCCTCCCCTCTTCTCTCTCTACCCCCTCTACTGTCATTCATTTCTCCCCCTTGTATTATTTTTCCCTTTCCCCTTACTTCCTCTTGTATGTAATTTTGTATAACCCTGAGGGTCTCCTTCCATTTCCATGCAATTTCCCTTCTCTCTCCCTTTCCCTCCCACCTCTCATCCCTGTTTAATGTTAATCTTCTTCTCATGCTCTTCGTCCCTACTCTGTTCCCAGTTACTCTCCTTATATCAAAGAAGACATTTGGCATTTGTTTTTTAGGGATTGGCTAGCTTCACTTAGCATAATCTGCTCTAATGCCATCCATTTCCCTGCAAATTCTATGATTTTGTCATTTTTTAATGCAGAGTAATACTCCATTGTGTATAAATGCCACATTTTTTTTATCCATTCGTCTATTGAAGGGCATCTAGGTTGGTTCCACAGTCTTGCTATTGTGAATTGTGCTGCTATGAACATCGATGTAGCAGTGTCCCTGTAGCATGCTCTTTTTAGGTCTTTAGGGAATAGACCGAGAAGGGGAATAGCTGGGTCAAATGGTGGTTCCATTCCCAGCTTTCCAAGAAATCTCCATACTGCTTTCCAAATTGGCTGCACCAATTTGCAGTCCCACCAGCAATGTACAAGTGTACCCTTTTCCCCACATCCTCGCCAGCACTTGTTGCTGTTTGACTTCCTAATGGCTGCCAATCTTACTGGAGTGAGATGGTATCTTAGGGTGGTTTTGATTTGCATTTCTCTGACTGCTAGAGATGGTGAGCATTTTTTCACGTACTTGTTGATTGACTGTATGTCCTCCTCTGAGAAGTGTCTGTTCAGGTCCTTGGCCCATTTGTTGATTGGGTTGTTATCTTATTGTCTAATTTTTTTGAGTTCTTTGTATACTCTGGATATTAGGGCTCTATCTGAAGTGTGAGGAGTAAAGATTTGTTCCCAGGATGTAGGCTCCCTATTTACCTCTCTTATTGTTTCTTTTGCTGAGAAAAAACTTTTTAGTTTAAGTAAGTCCCATTTGTTGATTCTAGTTATGACATTCTCAATTCAATATGGCCAGGGCTATTTCCCAATTATAGATGTTTATGGGTCTAAAGCTAAGGGAGTGTTTTAGTCAAGCTCTGTGTCCCTGTGACCAAAAGACCTGACAAGAACTATTTAAGAGAAAGGAAAGTTATTAAGACTCACAGATTCAGAACTTCAGTCTGTGGTCCCCAACTCAATAGCTTTAGGCCTGAGGTGAGGCAGAACATCCTGGTGGAAGAGTGTGGCAGAGAGAGCACTCCACTCACCAGGAACAAAGTAAAGACCCAATGACATATCCCCAGTGACCCACTTCCTCCAGTCCTACCTTATCTGCCTAGAGTTATCACCCGTTAATCCATATCAATGGATTAATCCACTGATTAACTGAAAGCTCTCATAATCTAATCATTTCACCTTTGAACCTTCTTGCATTGGTTTACACCCAAGCTTTTAGGAGACACTTCACATCCAAATCATAATAGGCAGTTATTCTTTTATTTTCCACATTTTTGTTGGTACCTCACAGTTGTACATAATTATGGGATTTTTTGTGACATATTTAAACATGCATATAATTTAACAATATACTTTGGCTAATATCCTTTCCCAACTCTTCCACTGTTCCCTACCCTTCTCCCACCCTTTGGTCTCTTTCCTCTACTGATCTCCCTTTGAGTTTCATGAGATTACCCCCCACACACACCTTTCTTTTCCTTTTTCCTCTCTACCTTCGCCATATGAGAGAAAACACAACCCTTGGCCTTCTGAGTTTGGCTTAACATAATGGTCTCAAGTTCTTCCATTTTTCTGCAAACGACAATTTCATTTTTATTTATGGCTGAATAACACTCCATTGTGGGGCTGGGGATATAGCTCAGTTGGAAGAGTGCTTGCACAAGGCCCTGGGTTCAATCCCCATTGCCACAGAAAAACAAACAAACAAAAACCCCTCCATTGTGTATATATACATTTTCTTTACCCATTCATCTGTCGGTGGACACCTAGGCTGGTTCCATAGTTTGACTATTGTGAATCATGCTGCTATAAACATGGGTATGCGTGTATCATGGTAGTATGATGACTAATTCTTTTGGATAAATACTGGGGAGTGGTTTAGCTGGGTCAAATGGTGGTTCCATGCCTAGTCTTTTAAAGAAACAGGTAGTATTTCTTAAGACTCCCAAGTCCTGTCCCCAATCTGGGTTTAACAGCCTGTAAGTGGAAATAGCACTATTGAGGTTCCAGAGGCCATATACAGGAACTTGTTTGAGATTTAGTAAATTACTCATGGTTTTTTGGCAAAGCCTTGGAATCCCAAGGTCACATTTGCCCACTGAGACCTAGATTTTTTTTTTTTTTAGTTTTAGTTTTAGGTGGACACAATATCTTTATTTTTACATTTATGTTTCTGAGGATTGAACCC